GCTAGAATTTAGAAATGAAAGTCACTAATGGAGAGCAGGATAGATATACCAAGAAGTTTTTGAAAAATGGTACCTTTTGGTATTGTGTGAACAGAAAGTGAAAATTTGGAAATTTTGTTTGAGAATAAAGGTTGGAAAGTAAGTTTGATACATGATGGTTGTTTTGGAAATACTAACTTGGAGGTATAAAAACTAATAAGTGTTCGAACTGTACTATATGGTACTAAATTTGGTACAGTTTGGCTTACAGTGAACGGATGAAGCGGGATCTCGATTGGTGGTAGAATTTTGACAAAGAGGCGGTTGTGTACTACAAGTACTAAATAGTACTATATTTGGTACAATTTGGTATTGTTGAACTCAAAATCTAAAATTTAGTATTAGGGTCGATATACATGTGTAGCCTGGACATATGGAGGAGGTTTCGGAAATATATACTATAATTGTACGAAAAGTACTAAATAATACAAATAGAGACGAAATCCTGAAATTTAGCGTAGATATTACCCTGTTGTCTGTGGTTAAAATGTGGAGGTGATTTTAAAAATGTGTAAAAATGTTCAGAAATCCCAACCATAGCTAAGAACCCACTTCTTCAATGAACAATGTATGTAACCTTGTCAGATCTAAAACCAGCTGATCAATAACTCACACATAAACAAGTAATACTTATTATATTTATTATTTCAAGAACAATGACTGTAGCACGCCGCAATATTTTCATTTTTTTTTTTTTTTTTGTAGGAAAGCTATTTAAAATTGCTAACCTTTTATCACAAAAACGTAATCTACATTTTTCATGAGACTTGATCATCTTGTGTTTGGTCAACATTCGCCGGGGCTTAAATTAAATAAATGATTCATTAATTTCCAGTCATGTTATTAATGTAAAAGTAAATATGTCTATCTACATACATATTTACCTATATTTGTATAGAAATACAAGCTTGGAATTTTTGTTTCAATTTTTTTTTGTTGGTACTATTGGCGTACAGAAATATCTCTGATTTAATTTCGAAATCGTCTCTCTGCATATACACATGTATTCAGCATGTGTATGTGTATGTTTGTATGTATGCGTATATAGAATATAATTCCAAGAACATTTTATTGTGATAAATGATTTGTAATTATGGTGTATATACTGTCAGAATGTCAGTCGATGCGCTTTTGTTTTATTTGCTGTGTGCTGTTTTGACTGGATTTTTGTTGATTTGTGTGTGTTTTTTTTTTTTTGCTCCATTTGAAGACAACCGTCTGTCTGTCTCAATGACAATGACGTCGCGGGACATTAACACCGTAGAAAAGAAAAAAAAACGCAAGCGATAATAAATTTAATGACAAAAAAGCTTCAATTTGGTCAATTTCTTTCCTTTGGTCTAGGCAGTCGGACGCATAGAAATGATTAATGTTTTTTCGTTGTTGTTGCTGTGGTTTTCATTAGTTTATGATATTAATAACAAAGTACACATAATTGATTTGAAGCAGTAGGCAGAAGTTTTTTCTTTATGAATGTAGATGTGTGTGTGTCACTTGGACAAATCATGTGGTAATTTAGTCATTCAAAAACAGGGCTAATTTTTTCCAATTGAACCTGAGTCAAGTTTCCCAAAGGGAAACCATTTAACTTAGCTGCTACATCAATACTTTATGTTATAATTTTATGGCTGGTACGAGAACATGGCTGCTAAAGAGGAAGCATAAAATAATTACGCATTCATTTAATTCAAATTTTGCTGTCCGCAAAAGGAAATTTGCACTTAAAAAAGTATAAGTTATTCTTTTAAATGCCATTTTGGTGTTACCTGCCAATTATGTTTGAATTGAATAATCATTCTTATGCAGTACTCCTAATTTTTGAAGAAAAAACACTGACTCATCAGTTTTTCTAACATAGTATTCTACTTAGCTATCATCCTTTTGTGATAAAATGGCTGTTAAAAGAAAATCCACTACAATTAAGTACTTCTTTGAAATATAAGGCTAACAACACCATCAAAGTTTTTCCACAATCTATTGATGGGAAAATATTTTTAACTTGAAATTAATAACTTTCTCCTATTTAAAACAATTTTCCCAAAAGAAATTTTCATTTTAAATTTATTGCTTTGGAAAAAAAAATCGTAATAGATTTTACCCTATTACATAAAGTGTTTTGTACCTTATTTCGTATACCCAATTGTGTAACCAATGTCCTTAGCAGCAACCCACCAAATTCCTTGCAAGCAAAGCTCATGCGTCAGAAACAAAAAAAAAAAAACACATTTGTTCATTTGGCATTTTTCCAATTATTTTGCTATCAAAAGAGGAGTATATCAAAAAACTCCAATCCACTTTCCCCCAATAAATAAATTTCCACAAAAATAACTTCCTACCCCCAAAATAAATCTAATGCCCAGCCAACCCTATCAAACCAACCCCTTAACTAAACAACATTTACAACTCCCAAAGAGGAAAATGGGGAAAGTAGACAAAAAATAAACAAACTTTTGCCATTAATGCGATGATGACTCATCGCACTATGTAATGGGCACAAGGACAAAGGCATTAAACTAAATTGATTTTCCTTTTTTTTTGTTGTTTTTTTTTCGTTACAGTCATATCGGAAATATATGGTGGTAGGGTGTGTTGCTAGGGAAGGTCTTTGTTTAATGGTTTTGTTTTTGTTTTTTGTTTGTTTGATAAGAAATTTATAGCAAGAGGTACGGGGACAATGAGTAATTTTTTTTTTTTTGGGAGTGTATAAAAAGCATTTGGAGAGCTTATTATAAGGACAACTAATATTTAGAATGTATATAAAAACAGACATTTACATTTTAATGGTTTACTTCGTGGAAAGGAAATTTGAAATATAAAGCCCCAAATAATATTTCACCAAAGATTTTTTTTTGTTTTTAACAATAATCTGGTTTATAAAAACCATAATATTTTCTTATTATTTTTACAAGGGTATTATGTCTTTGGCTCATTGTTACTTTTGAGGATCCTCATAATATAATTTTCTGGATCGATATATGAATGTCCGTACGCCTGTCTCACCATGTATTTTGTGAACAAAATATAGGTCGAATGTATTGCCCGATCGAAATTAAATTTTTCACAATTCATTTGTTTGGACTAAGGACGAACCCAATTTAAGATATTCGGAAAATTTTTATATATAAGTCCTATGTCCGAACTAAAAGAACAGTTTGCACCAAATGTGTCATATGAATTCAAATAAGATGGATATTGGCACATGCAACTAAATTGATCCTAGAAGCAAGTATGTAAAATTTGGCAAAATCGGTTGAGAAATGTGTTGTGTTACTTTTTTACTCACAACCGTAGTTTGAACTCCAAAACAACGATATTCGGGAAAGATATAAATTACAGCTCAGAAATATCCTTGCTAAATTATATCAATATCGGTTTAGATTAAGAAATAGCTCCGATATATTTCTTTATCGAATTTTAAGTTCATCGTGCACCAAATGCCTAGGCCTACATTGAATTATGGTACATACGATCGAATTCAGCCTGGAAGAAAGTGGGTCAACTTTGGTGATAATCGATTCAGATATAGCTAAGTCTCCTACATATACGTTTCATTCGATTTGGTGTTTCAGTTCCTTACATTCGTAATATGCACTCCACAACAATCAGATACAGCTCGGTCGATCGGTCCAGATTTGGACTTGAATTTGCGACTTAACAGTTGTGGTCCACCAAATTTGTAATATCAGAACAGCTCAGAAATACCTCTGCCATATTTTAGCCAGATCTGTCCAGATATAATCTTAATACAACTTTACAGGTTTTGTCTACCAAATATGTAATATAAGCCCAAGTTGGATGCATTTTTGCACATTCTACTGAATTTTTCCATTTTGTGAAACTAGGTTTCCTTCTCGTAGTCATATCATACAGCAATGTCTTTTAGTACGACTCCGTCAAACATAGTGTCAATCGATTTCGAGTTAAATATACATAGGGATAATATAAGTTCGATCTGATTCTAAATTATTACTGCTCTAAAGCAGTTCGCTGTAGCGTATTCAGTTGGTATATCATAGTTGGTATGATCTGTTTCACATTTATTCCAAATATGAACGTTTTTTGTTGCGCGTAGCTCTGCTAAATATGTATGTATGTATCTTGACCTTTTCTTACTTCTATTTGTATTGGATTACTTGGTGGTATTGAATTTGAAATATAAACTACCAGAAATTATAAAAACAGTATATATATTTTAACAATTTTACAAGAATTTTAATATATATAGAATAGAATAGAATTTAAATTAGAATATTTTTCCCAAATAGTTAATGGTTCATAGCATATATATTTATATAAAGATTATATATTTTTATTACTATTACTTACATTACAATGTAATTATGATATGACAGTCATAGCATATTTATTATATGCCATATTTTTTAATATATGAAGTATATTTTTTATTTAACAATGTATTTATTTAACAATGTATTTATTATATAACACTATTATTACCTAGACATCGTCATCATCACTTGTGCTTTTTTTAATTTTTTTTATTTTTACACCACATTTTTCTTAAAATTTATTTTTTCCGTTTTCTTTCATTTTCATTGCATTTTTACAAACTCTCATCATATGTGTTGTTATACTTTGCGCCAATTCTTTGTGTGTGTGTGCCCCCGCTCACCTGTCTCATGTGTCTTATGTTGTGATCGATCAATAACAAAATTTGTATTGTGACAAAATGTTCATACAAAAACGCTCCAATGAACGAACGTACAAATGCCCGTATGGACGACTGCCCGCCCGCCTGCCTGCCCTTATGATTGCTTGTTTTGCCCATTTTGCATTTTGATCTCCCTTTTTATGATTTGATTCGTGCCGCGTACCACCAATTGCCGATTGTCATCATTGTTGTTGGCGCTGCCTCTCCTTATTGATCATATGAATAAAATATATGTGTACATATCTATATACACAAATTTTACTATAAATATGATATATTCATTTGATAGCATGGGAGAGCGGACTCCTATCGGGTCGCAACGGTTGTACCAACCGATGACGACAATCTTACAGCCGATGGTCATTACAAGGTAAATATTCTTTTGGTTTCTTTTCCTTTTTGTATTTTATGTTTTGTTTTTTTTTTTTATGTCTTTTGTTGTATTTTTGTTATTATTTTTTCATTAACATTTTTTATTATTATTTTCTTAATTTTGTGACCCATTTAACATTATTTTGTTGTCAATATTAATATGCATGTTTTTGGGTATTAGCTGCATACTTTATAATTATTTAAAGTGAATTTATCATCCATGATTTGCATACTGCTCGAAAATAATTCTATAAATTGCCCAAATAGTTTCCATAAAGATGTACAAATTTACAAAGTTCATAATTGTAAAAAAAAAATTAAGGGTATTAGAGGACCTTTATCTTAAAAAATCGTGTCTCTAAAAAATCTTTCTTAAATATTTATTAAAAAAAAAAAACAAAGTCTGCAGATCTAAAAGTCCTTGAAACAAATGTTACTCTAGTCGTCTTTAAAAACTCTACGTTTGAAGTCCCTAAAGCTCTTAAAAAAATCTAAAAAAATCACGTTTCAAGTTTTTTACATTCCTTCACAGAAAAAAAAAACTTTTAAACCGTTCTAATAGTCATTTTTAAGAAAAAAATAAAAAACCCTACATTTAATGTTCCAAAAGTTCGTTACAATAAATCTTTAAAAGTTTTCCGTTAGAAAAAGCTTTTTCAAAACTCTACTTTGAAGCTCTAAAAGTCCTTTACAAGAAAAATCTTTAAAAATTCCAGGCTTTAATCCACGTATGAATTTAAAATATTCCGGTATTTAAAGTTATAACAGTCCTTCACAAAGAAATTCCAAAATTCTTATATGAATCTCTAAAATTCCTTTGAAAAAATTCTTAAACAGCATTAAATTTGTATTCAAAATTACCTTTCAAAATTTTTTTTTAAAATAACTGCTAAAGTCCTTTACAAGAATTCTTTAAAAAAAATCTGCACTTTAGGCTCATAAAAATCTTCACCAAATTCATTAGAAAATGTGAGTTAAAATGTATACTAATCTTTGAAAAAAACTTTAAAAATCCGCTTTAAAAACATAATAGCCCTTCAAAAATGTCTTAAAAAACGCATAACCATCAAAAAACAATTTATTTAATATTTCAAAAATGCCTTACTTTGCCCTCAAAAAAATCTTTAAAAGTACATGTTTTAAGTTATATTGGACAAAGAAAAAAATCTTTAAAACTGCTCTCATAAAGCTCGGATAACCCTTTTAAAAACATTAAGTATAGTTCACTAATATGTTCGTAAAAAGAGTCCTTAAAAAACTCTAAGAGTCCTTAAAAACTCACATTACAGGTTTTGATAGTCCTTCAAATATTTTTAAAAAGTCCATTTTTTTTTTAATTGACACATCTGGTAGTTCATTAAATAAACATTTTAAAAATCCACCCATGAAGCTCTGATAGATCTTCGAAACAAAATTATTCATGTTTGGAACCCTGATGGACCCTCAAAAAGTTTCTGTAACGATATAGCTCTTAAAATAATTCTTTAAATTGCATGTTTTTAGAATTCCAGTTTCATCAAGCAAAATTCGTAAAAATTAACGTTTTTGAAAACTCTTCAAATATATTCCATCAAATTCACAATATTTGACATTTCTAATCCCTAAAAAAGTTATTTTTTATGCTGAAGTATCATAATGACCTTCATAATGTATTAAATCCGCTTTTTACTTTCCCGTACCAATTGAGTTCAAATAACTTGCAAATTGTTTGCTTTTTTCTCTTCTCCCTTCTCGGGCCTTCTCATCACACAACTGATAAGAGGACTTGCCAATTTATATTTTTAATCAATGACGTTGTTTCAAAATTAGATTTTAAATACGCCATGTGGGCCATCCACACTACGTACGCTACCCTCTTACACTTGTGTATGAATTGAATTAAATATGTTGACAAACGAAATGAAGGTGCTGCTGACACCGCCGCGCCCCGGCTGTCTCACCTAAATTCTAAAATTAAAACTACAACGAAATGGCAAATGGAAAACAACGTAAACTAGGGTCACTTCTTTTTTCTTAAAAATATAAATAAATAGAAAATAAAAACAAATTTGAAAGATTGATTTGGCAAACTCATCTCCCTGTCTGTCTGCCATGATTGCACCATCGCCACCATATAAACGTGACAATTTTTGTTGTTTGTTTACATATTTTTTTAAATTTTCTGTTTTTCGATCGCCTTATCCATATTCCACCAACCATTTTTGAAATATTCTCACGCCAAAAAATAGACAGTAATTAAATCAAAAGCCCAGTGCTTATTTCGATATTGAAAATAGCATCCCAACATTTTTGTTTATTTAATTGCTTTCCATTAGCAAAATTTGTGTGTTTATCCATGTATATTTGTATGTATGTAAATGTAAATTTCCGTTTACTGCTTTTTTTGGATTTAATGCTTTACTTTTTATTTATTTAAAACAAAAAGCAAAAGCTTTGAACAAAATTTAACAATTGTGGGGTAAGTTGGCATTTCCTGTGGGAATCCAAAACACAAAAAAAAAACGGTAAAAAGTGTTGAGGTAATATTAACGTGACTAATTTTAGGTTATTTATACAAACAAAATAATAATACTGGTATGAATATACATTAATGTAAAATGGTATTTGGGTCTTATACAAAAAACACCTTGTAAAATCAAAATAATAAAACACCTATATTTAAAAACAATTATCTACACCAAAATGGCATGATAAAATTGGGTCAAATGGTCTACAAATAACTCTATTGCTTTGAGTAACCTTAAAACTAAAAAAAAAATATATATCAAAAATTTTCAACACTTTTTTCATTTATACAAAACTAATCAAAAACATTTTTTTTTAATCCAGACAAAACGCAAGATGCCGGCTAAAGGGGCGAAAAAAGAAAATTTAGATGATCTCAAACAGGAGTTAGATATCGATTATCATAAAATCACTCCTGAGGAGCTGTATCAGCGCTTTCAGACACATCCTGAAAATGTAAGTATTGAATGTAATTGTTCTTCAAAAAACTATAACATATTCATATACAATTTTCTTTTCTCTTCCAGGGTCTAAGTCATGCTAAAGCTAAAGAAAATTTAGAACGTGATGGCCCAAATGCTCTCACACCACCAAAACAAACACCCGAATGGGTGAAATTCTGTAAGAATTTATTCGGTGGTTTCGCCATGTTATTGTGGATTGGTGCTATTTTATGTTTTGTGGCCTATTCTATTCAAGCCAGTACCAGTGAAGAGCCATCCGATGATAATTTATATTTGGGTATCGTACTGTCAGCTGTAGTTATAGTTACCGGTATTTTCTCATACTATCAGGTAAATTTAGCTTTAATCTTGTATTATTATAAATCAACTAGATTCTCCATAAATTAACTCCGAAAAGAAATAATCGAATCGAATATACATCCACGAATAACACAAAAATCTCTATAAAAGAAACTTACAAAAATCCTTGATTATTACTCGGATAATCCTTGAAAAACGTTTATATCTGTAATGAACCTTTAAAAATCTTAAAACTACTCATTATTTTTCAAACATATATTTAGAAGAACGTTCAAAGCTTAAAAATCCACTTTGGTGTTTGTAATTGGAATCCTTTCAAAAGCTTTAATCCAAATAGTTGAGTCTATACTGCTTCAAAACAAATCTTTAACAATGCTTCCAATACATCAAAAAAAAAAAAAAATGACAAAAATCCACATTTATGGCTTCCAAAATTATTCAAAAGTATTCGCAAAATCCTTGAAATTGATTTTGTTACTTTTTTTTCACAAAAAATACACTTGTGGCTCATATATTTTGGTAAAAAATACTTCAAACACCTTCTCGCGTTAAGCTATACTAAGTTTTTAAGAAAAATTAGGATATTGGGAATGTATCGGAGGCCCAATGTAATTCCATAAAAATCCAGGTCGCTCCGATCATTTTCAATGGAAACAACCAGAAACTCTTCGATTATATGGCTCTTAAATTAAAATTTCCAGAGGTTCTCCTTCAACAAATTCCACCGGCCTGACAAATAGTCCTAATAATCCCAACTTCACTCTTTCTCTATTTACAGGAATCTAAAAGTTCAAAAATTATGGAATCTTTCAAAAACATGGTTCCCCAATTTGCCACTGTCATACGTGAGGGTGAAAAATTGACTCTCCGTGCCGAAGATTTAGTCTTGGGCGATGTTGTCGAAGTGAAATTCGGTGATCGTATCCCAGCTGATATTCGCATTATTGAGGCTCGTACTTTTAAGGTTGATAACTCATCGTTGACTGGTGAATCTGAGCCCCAGTCCCGTGGCCCCGAATTTACTCACGAGAATCCCTTGGAAACGAAAAATTTAGCTTTCTTCTCGACCAACGCTGTTGAAGGTACTGCCAAGGGTGTCGTCATTAGCTGTGGTGATCACACCGTCATGGGTCGTATTGCTGGTCTGGCTTCCGGTTTGGATACCGGTGAAACACCCATCGCCAAAGAAATTCACCATTTCATTCATTTGATTACCGGCGTCGCTGTCTTCTTGGGTGTGACCTTCTTCGTTATTGCCTTCATTTTGGGTTACCATTGGTTGGATGCTGTTATTTTCTTGATTGGTATTATTGTCGCTAACGTACCTGAAGGTCTATTGGCTACCGTAACTGTGTGCTTGACTTTGACTGCCAAACGTATGGCTTCGAAGAATTGTTTGGTAAAGAATTTGGAAGCTGTCGAAACTTTGGGTTCCACCTCCACCATCTGTTCGGATAAGACCGGTACCTTGACCCAAAACCGTATGACTGTCGCCCACATGTGGTTCGATAATCAGATCATTGAGGCCGATACAACAGAGGATCAGTCGGGTGTCCAATACGATAGAACTAGCCCTGGATTCAAGGCGCTCTCTCGCATTGCCACTCTCTGCAATCGTGCTGAATTCAAAGGCGGCCAAGAAGGCGTTCCAATTTTGAAGAAGGAAGTCAGCGGTGACGCCTCAGAAGCTGCTTTGTTGAAGTGTATGGAATTGGCCCTCGGTGATGTCATGAATATTCGCAAGCGCAACAAGAAATTGGCCGAAATTCCGTTCAACTCCACCAACAAGTATCAGGTCTCAATTCACGAAACCGAAGATCCCTCAGATCCCCGTTACTTGCTCGTAATGAAGGGTGCCCCCGAACGTATTTTGGAGCGTTGCTCAACCATCTTTATCAACGGCAAAGAAAAGGTCTTGGACGAAGAAATGAAGGAAGCTTTTAACAACGCCTACATGGAATTGGGAGGTTTGGGCGAACGTGTATTGGGTTTCTGTGATTATATGCTGCCATCTGATAAATATCCCACCGGCTTCAAGTTCAACGTTGATGATGTCAACTTCCCCATTGACAATTTGCGTTTCGTTGGCCTTATGTCCATGATTGATCCCCCTCGTGCTGCTGTGCCCGATGCCGTTGCCAAGTGTCGTTCTGCTGGTATTAAAGTTATCATGGTTACTGGTGATCATCCAATTACTGCTAAGGCCATTGCCAAATCCGTCGGTATCATTTCCGAAGGTAACGAGACCGTGGAAGATATTGCCCAACGTTTGAACATTCCCGTTTCGGAGGTTAATCCACGTGAAGCCAAGGCTGCCGTTGTACATGGTGCTGAATTGCGTGATGTTAGTTCCGATCAATTGGATGAAATCTTACGCTACCATACTGAAATTGTGTTCGCTCGTACCTCACCACAACAAAAGCTGATTATTGTTGAGGGTTGCCAACGTATGGGTGCTATTGTCGCTGTGACTGGTGATGGTGTCAACGATTCGCCTGCTTTGAAAAAGGCTGATATTGGTGTTGCTATGGGTATTGCTGGTTCCGATGTATCCAAACAGGTGAGTGCTTGTTTGCTAAGTGGAATGTTGTAATGTTTAGCTAATTGACTTTTTGATTTTGCTCTAGGCTGCTGACATGATCTTGTTAGATGATAACTTTGCCTCCATTGTTACCGGTGTTGAGGAAGGTCGCTTGATCTTCGATAACTTGAAAAAATCTATTGCTTATACCTTGACCTCCAACATTCCTGAAATCTCACCATTCTTGGCTTTCATCTTGTGCGATATCCCCTTGCCTTTGGGTACTGTTACAATTCTGTGCATTGATTTGGGTACTGATATGGTAAGTAGAAGGCTATTATTTGTTTTGCCACCTTTCTGTTTGATATATAAAAGTTTGCCTAAGACTAAAAGTATTTTTATAGTTAAAGTTTTAAGAGATATAGGTTTGTTGTTCATAGATGTAAGATAAAAAATACTGTTATTTTGTATAATTATTCTATGGAAATTTTAAATATGATAATGTGTTATAACACAAGATACCAGCCATATCATTGGCCTATGAAGGACCTGAAGCGGATATCATGAAGAGAAGGCCACGTAATCCAGACATTGATAATTTGGTCAATGAAAGGTATACATGTTTTGTATTTTTTTGGAAATCAAGTAATGCTAGAAGACCGAACCAAGCTAGCAAGACCAAGACGTTAATGGCTAGTAATTGAGCAAAGAAGATGTTTTGAAATATTTAAGCTAGTTATAAGTCATGGCCTCCATTTTAGTTGGGTCTAGATTCATTTGAAATTTATTATTTATGTTTTGTTATATTTTGTTCTTAATTTATGTTAATTATTATGATTTTTAAGAATTATTTTTAAGTTCTTATAAAAACAAAATTTACTCATTATTATATCTTTTTTATTCTATTGTAATTCTGCTACATCTACCACTACTACTGCGCTACCATACTATCGTGCTCTACTCTACTGCGAAAACAAAAACCTGTACGTGTGTGTATACTGTTTGTGATTCTTATCCCTGGCTTTATTTTATAACAAAATTGGGGTCCAATGAATTTGCAAACAATAATTGCACACTACCTTCCTGAACATACAAAAAACAAAAAAAAAAAAAAACATACAAACAAACATATATTCCACAACACAATTTCAATACCCGATACACAAAAATGAAATATATTTTGTGAAATTGTGTGAAAACTGTGTGTGTACCTGTACAAACTGTGAACATTTCTACTACGCTTGTTGTGTTCTGAATATAAACCGTTTGTAGGTTCCTGCTATCTCTTTGGCTTACGAAGCTGCTGAAGCCGATATCATGAAGCGTCCACCCCGTGATCCATTCAACGATAAATTGGTCAATTCAAGGTGCCTATACATTTTTGTTTATTTGTTTTATTTTTAACACAAAATTTCTAACCAAAAACCAACTCGCCCCATGCTCGTCCCACTCAATCACTCACAAAATGTCTTAACTTGAAAAAAAATTAACAACAACCATAACCCCCCTAACATTTTGTTGGCATTTACCAATGTCATGCTTTTGGTCTTCTTCCAAAGAAGTTCCCTTTTCCCTAACCAAGAAAATAATGAACACCAAATGGCTGGATTTTATAAATATTTTAACTTTCTTCATAATTATCTATTGTCAATCAATATAAGTGTGTGTGTAAATTCACATAAAAATCATCGATGTTGTTAATTTTTATAATACATATATGTGTGTGTGAACGTGCCAAGAAGCAAAACAAAAGCCGTTTTCTACAACATTTTTTCTTTAAATTCTAACACCAAACTAACAACAAAAAGGTCATATTAAACACACAAAATAACCTCAACCAAAAAGCATTTCATATATATTTAGTTCTAACCCCTCTTAATTCATAGCAACTTCATCAAAAATCTCAATTTTTATTTCGAATTGTATATTACGTTATATTAAACTTGGTGTTGTGGATTACCTTTTTTTGTCTTAACAATTACAAATAAAAATATTAATTTTATGAACATTCACCTCATTTCATCTCAGTTTCATCTTATCAATTTTAAGACTGACACTGTATGGGTAATGCGAATGTAATTCCAAAATATTTTGTTTGGAATCTACATTGAGTGTTCACAAACGGTGTAAAATTCTCTCATCTACGTTGTAATCCAAATCCACCTGCACATAACCTTAAAAGATAATTTATTTTCAAATTGTACTTTTATCATTTTGTTTTCCGTTTTTCCATTCAAATCACCTTATCATATATATTTAAATGTATATAATAAGTTTTATATATATATGCAGATATATAAAAAAAACATCATTTTTGTTGTTGTCATCATCTTATCTTCTAAGTATGTATTAAGCTGTAATTTGCACTTGTGACAAAAAAGAAAAACGTGAAAAATTATTTCTTTTCCATTTGAGTTAAATGAATTGAAATGTTTGAAATTGAATTGGTTTTTATTGGATTTGTTTTTAAATCAATTTTGTGTGTATTTTTTAAAATATTTGTTAGAACATTAAGTAGTTAGAAATGTTTGCACTTTAAATTTTTCAAAAATTATACATTTTTATAAAATTTTGAGTATTTTCAAAAAATAATAATAAAAATAAAAAATAGGGTTTTTGGGATAGTATATTAAGAATTGAAAAGATTCAGGCATAAGCACCAGAAATAGAATGTTAATATGTCTTGACTGAATATTCTTCTATCTACATATATAGAAAAAATATTTGAAATGGCCGGAATGATCCAAACACAAAAAAAAAAAATAAAATAAAACAATCAAAATGTTTAATATACAGTTACGAGTCAATTTCTCAAATAAAATCTGTTTTGGTAAAAGAAACCCATAGGAAACCCATAACATAAAAAACCAAAAACGTTTAAAGTTCAACCATTTTAATTTTTATAAAAATTCCATTTCTGTCCGGACATTATTGTTCGTAAAAGTCTTCCATAAAATACAGCTAAGAAATTGAAAATGCACTAACTGTTGAAGCCATATGAAAGACGAGATAACTACTCCGTTTTAAGAAGCCAAGAAAAGCGGTTTTCTTTCTCGTTTTTTTAGTTTCTGATATTTGTAGATAAATAAAAACGTAGTTAGAACATCCCATTACAGGTGGCAGATTTCCTAACAGTACAGCTAGAAGAAGCAAAACGTTTGTGAATAGGAACAGTTGTTTTATCTTCAGAATAATAAATTCAATTCAATCAATTTTGGCAACGCTAAATTAAAATAATTTACTTTCATCTGAGACCAGTTTAAATACAACAGCTGGTGCCTATCACTCATTTTGTGTAGCTTAGGCAAAAATGCTTAGAGCGAAACTTTTCCAAAATTTCTTTCATTGGCTTTTAGAAATATTTCTGTTAAAAATATGCTTTTTATTTTTTATAATAAATTATCATTTATAAAAATATAAATTTATATTTACCTATAAACTGAAAAATACACACAAAGTATATGAAATTTATTCTTATGCCCCATTATAACTCCCCGTATAAAATTTGTATGCACTTTTAAGGTTAAGTTAATTTATAAATAGTTCTGTATGTATGTTTGAAATAATATTACTATTTACGTTCCAATGAGTTAGCTTATAAGATTATAAATAATATTTATAGGAAGTGTTGCCTACTTTTAGGCATATTTGTATAGGTTAGGTTTATACTTTAGGTGTTACCAAATATCCATTGTTTGTGAGAACAAATGAACTATGCGTTTGTTGTAAGTTTCGTTTAAATGATTTTTTATGATCCTTAACTGTGTTCCTTTTTTGTGTAAAGCAGAACCCAGTAAGCTTTTTTCCAAATAATATTAATATTTCATTTCTTTGTTTTTTTTTACACATTTCCTCCTCTACGTTCAATCGTTTTGTGTTACGAACCGAAAATTTGTTTGATTTCATATAAAACAACACAAATGATTTGATTTTTGCGATTTATTAAAATTTACCAAAACTTCCATACGATACCATCTATTTCATCATTCCCCCATCCACAAAACGAAAAAATACATACCAAACACTGAAACTTGTACAATTACCCGAAAACCCTCTCTGCTAAATTATCAACTGAATAAAAAAAAAAACTTTGTAACGCTGAACGACCACCCATCTCCCCTCCGCCTCGATACCACCCCAAAATGCGTGAAAACTTGTGTTATATATTTTGTAAAAACAAAAAAAAAAAACAAATCAACAACAACATAGGTACCCGCCATTTCCCTAGCCTATGAAGAAGCTGAATCAGATATTATGAAACGTCAGCCCAGAAATCCATTTAGCGATAAGCTGGTCAATGAAAGGTAAAGTTTTTCTTTGTGTCATCATCATGTTTTCTATTCGAATTTATTTAAAGATATATATATACAGCTTGAAAAGTATCTCAAAAAAGGAAATTCACTTTAAAATAATTTTTATTAATAAAAACCAACCAACCAAGATAGGCCTAAACAATTAGCACCCTTGCCTTACACCACAAGCCCTTAGGGGCATTGGGGTTCTTATTTGAAACACTATTTTTTCGATTTCTTTCTTGACACCCCAAACCAGTTAAGTAAAATTAAAACAATCCCAAAGCAAAAGGGGTCCTTCTTCTTTCTAAAAAACAAATGCGTATTTTTCCCTTTTGAGCTCTCTCTCAACAACAGAGTAAAGTTAAACATTTTTTTATATTTTTATTTTCTTCTAACTTAAAAGCAAAGTACATTTTCCTGAAAAATAAATTTTTTTTTGAGCATTTAACTTTTTATCCTAATTATTTATGCTTGTCTTTTTCGCCCAATAAACATAATCTTATGGTCATTTATAATATTTTGAACGAAAATATATTAAATTACAGCTGACTAGAACAATTTTATATTAGCCCAAAATAACAGATATTTTTCCATTTAAAATTTCAATGATCTTTCGATTAAAAAAATATATATATGAAATATATATATATATTTCCAAAAAAATTATATTTTAAAAATCTCAAGTTTTTGTATATGATATTTTGTATCTAAAAAATATATACATTGTTGTTAAAAAAATTAGTGTTAGCCAATGAATATTTGATCAAAGTAAAATTAATTTTATTGGGCTCTGAATTTTTTTATTAAAATTCTATGTTATCAACTTCATTTTTTTATTTTCTCTAAACTTAAATTTGCGTTGGTTTTTATTATTTTTGTGTAGATATTACAATATATTTTTTAAAAAATATATACCTTAATTTTTGTGTAGCTTTCCTTTGTTTTGCTTTGAATATTTTAAAATAAATTTATATCAATTTTTAGCTTAATTTTTTGTGCTTTAATTTATTGCTTTGAACTTTTGTGTTACATTTTTTTAAATTCAAACTTCTTTACTTAAAATGAAGTAATTCAATTATAAAAATAATTTCTATTTAGAAACACAAAGAAAAACTATAATATCTTCTTTAATATTCATTAAAAAATGTTCTTATTTAAGGAAAATATATATTTGTTAGCTCTCATACATACTATATATTTTTTTTTTGCTAGAAAATTTTCTCTCTATTTCGTCTTTCTCTCTTCTCACCATATATACATATAATTATACTCAGCTCAATAATATCAAGATTTTTATGGCAAAATCCAAATTGCCTCATATACAATTTTTTCTTCCTCTCAAATTGCAAGCTGCGCTGTCCAATTTCTTTCACCAGCCAACTCCCCATTCTAAATCAATAAATTTTTTGATTAATCGAACCTCACCCCGCCCAACAAAAATATGTATATTCCCTCCTACCACAATAACGTATACTTATTTAACCATACCTACAATCTGTTTTTACTCTTATTACTCGAATATTTATGCTCGTTATCAGTAAAAGAAAATATATTTTTTCCATGCTGTCTCTCTTTCCCCATTTTTCTTAGCCTTTTTTGAATAAAATATACGAATTTTGTTAAATATTATATATAGAATTTGCCATATACCTATATATACATATATTTATTATTTATATACTCGGCCTCAAAATATTTGTCTACTCTTTTGGCTTTTAACGTAACTATAAAATGGATTTTTTAGGAAATCCATCCCCTAACCCAAGAAATAACAAAAAAGATTAGCATTTGTTGAAGTATAATAAAAAGTTAAATGCAAATGAATTAAAATAATTAAAGATTTCGTCAAAAAATTAATTTCCTCAAAAAATCAAAAATAAAAATCTCTGTCTAAACATTTTTTTTTTTAAAAAAATGTCAAAATTATGTATTCTACTTTTAGGCAAATATATTTGATTTGCCTTGAAATCATTGTATTTCATAACATAAAGTAATCTCACTATAAAGGCTTCAACAAATGTTTCTTCTCACAATATCCACAATTGTGTTAAGGTAAGTTCAGTTCGAAATGA